GAACAACTTTTGCCTCAGGGTCACATCGAAATTCTTTGCCAATTTTAAAATAAAAAATAAATAAAATATATATATCGTCAAATAGAACTGCCCGGTAAACCGTAGGCAGAGAGGGAGAAGAGGACAACAAACGAGGGGCTGTTACAAACTGTTTCGTCGGAGTTTCACCGACTCATCAGGTTGTCACACTGTGAATCAGAGCGCGAAGGCAAAAAAAAGCAAAACAAGGAAAGGAACAGAAAGAGGAAAGCCCCACCTGTTCATCACCTCTCGCCCGGCCGGGCAAGTGGCCCCGGGCCACTCTGGTAGCCTAGAACAAAACCATTGATCAACCCAAAAAAACAAAGAAAAAGAAAAAAAAAAAATCATTGCTCAATGCTCAACCTTTTAATCAGTGCTCGCAGCTCTATTAACCTCTGTAGACTGATGCTAAACTCATACTGAACTCATGTAGACTAGTGCTAAACTCGTACCCAACTCCTTTAGACTCATTCTAAGCTCATGCTAAACTCTTGATCAATCTCTGTTATAATCATTAATCAGACTCCCCTGATCCTCATTGCTCTCCACTGAACTTCCTGTAGGGTCATGCTAAGCTCATGCTTAACTCATGCTAAAGGGTCATATGCTAAGCTCATGCTAAACTCCTATAGGGTCATGCTAAACTCATGCTAAACTCCTGTAGGGTCATGCTAAATTCATGATAACTCCTCTAAACTCATGCTTAACTCATGCTAAACCCTTGATCAAGTCTCCGTTAAACCACCAGTACATGGGCACCTGGGCCGCGGGTCTGACTCCTCAAATCCTGGAGGCGTGAAACAAAAACGGGGCCGCCGATCGAATTGATCAACGGGGCCCAGCGTTTCACGTTCCGGCCTCGTTTTCTTGTGGGGACAAGTTTCAGACTGCAAGGCTGCGGCCGTGTACTTGTGGTGGTTTAGCCCTTAACGAACCCTGGATTCTCCATGCTCTCAGCCGAAGCTCCAGTAGCCTCATGCTAAACTCATGTTAAACCCTCGATCAAGTCTCTGTTAACCATCGACCAATGCTCTGAGTTGAGCTTCCTGAAGCCTCATGCTAAATTCATGCTCAACTCCTCTCGCCTCTCACTAAACTCACGCTAAACTCCTCTGGACTCGTGTGTAAACTCCTTTTGAACTCCTATAGACTCGTGCTAAGCTGATGCTAGACTCCTGTATACTCATGCTACACACATGCTAAACTCGTGTCAAAGACCCGCTACCTCGGATGCTCTCCTCCTAGTGACTCCCATCTTCCCCCGAACACAATGCACCCTCATCATGACCGTATTGGACCCCAAAAATAGCTCGTATGCATTCAAGTTGACGGTGCCATGTGCTCGGGGGAAGATAGCAGGAGTTCGCCGCTTCTCTAAGGCAGACTGTATGTGTGAAACAAGGAGGTCCATCATCATCTGTTCTGGAGCCCCATTCCCCCATAACGCATCATAGGTCGTGGAGCGCAGCAAAAACCGACCAGCCTTCACAACCAAAGCGCAAGGCATACAGAAATATGTGTACACATTTTTTCAACGCTCGTCATGTGTAATGGACCTGACGCTGGCAGCTCACGTCATCATCGTCATCCTCCTCCTCCTCCTCCTCGTCACCATCATTATGATGTGGAATAGTCGCAATAGCCAATGAATGACATCCAGCAAAGAGATAGAAATATCGTCAACCGCCAAGGCAACAGGCGAAGCAGAGTGGGAGACGAAGTGTAATTCGAGCGAGATGAAAATCAACCTGTACAACGATGTCTGGTCTCTGCCCTCCCCTCTTCCCATTTTGCGCATATCTGGTTCATCTGGACCTGAATGTGGTCCTAGTACATCCAAAACATCCTCCCAACCAAGTTGACCCCGCGACCCGGTTGGTAATGCAGGATCGAACAACAAATCTTTTTCTTTTCCACCAAGAAAGAATTGCATGCAAAAAAAAAAATTCCTCCTTGCAGGCGAAAATAACACAACTCTAAAACAAGCGGGCCCACCACAACGATGCCGCGCCCCAACGGAGGGGATGAGAGAAAACGGTAGAGGAGAGGCGAAGAGAGGGAAATGGAGAGGGGCAGGGGGAGGCCTGCCGAAGGGAAGAACAGGATCGTGTGTAGCCGAGGGCATGGAAAGGAAAGCAACCATGCTATGAGAAAGAGCAACTGTCAGATTGATTGATTGATTGATTGATTGATTGATTGATTGATTGACTGTCACATTTCCTCCGCGGGCAGGTAGCCGACCTCACACACAGTATTGGAGATGCGTATTTGTGATATTTATGTTAAATTTTGTCATCTATTGATTGATTGGGGGGAGGCAGGCCAATGGATTGAAAAAGAGAGGGAAAAAAAGGCGGATAACAAATGATTGACGGAGGGGGGAAGCCAAGCTCACACACGGTGTTGCGGCAGAGGATGTCTGCGATTATAAAATTTTTCGTCCCTTGATTGATTTGGGGGAGGCAGGTCGACGGACCAAAAAGGGAATAAAAAAGAAACCAGAAAACAACAATGGTGACTATTCCGTCCTCCTCCCTCGTCTTTGTCCCTCCTTTGTCCTTCATCGTTCTCTTCCTCCTCAGCTTGCACAGGGGATGAGACTGGAGAAGTATGATGGAGGGTGATGACAACAATCCGATCCAAAACAGAAAGCTCGACGACTATTTGAAGAGGGGGGACAAGTAGAGGCTTGAGCCATTAGGAGCGAGAGCAAGAGAGAGAGAGAGGGAGAGAGAGGGAGAGAGAGAGAGAGAGAGAGCTACCTCCTCCTGCCTCCTACCGCCTTTGCTTCCGCCGAAAGACAGACCAAGCAGATGGTGCACACACGCACACACACACAC